TGCTGTACCTTCATGTGTTGTTTTATTTTCCCTTCACAGGAATAAATGTCTTTCCAAATAATAATAAAAAATCAGAAAGAAGGCTATATAGAGTCTTCCTCCATTATATGTTGGGGCTGGAGGGTTTTTTTTTTTTTGGTATTTGGAGAGTTTTGTTTGTGGTGTTGGCTTTACAAAATATGAAAAAGTGCATTTCAAGACTGTGCCAAATCCCCAACAACCTCATTCTGTGTTGTATAACACCTTTTCAAATATCAAAAATAAGCAAGTGAATTAGTTTTGTGCTGAAATGAGATATACAATTTGCCACAAAGTTATCATTTATGAAACAATCCCCATATCTCACACTCTTTTGTCCATTTTTTCACATTTGTTCATAGCAATAGTTCTTCCATTGCACAACTGCTTCTTTTTTGGTGGCAGTGATATAAGGAATGCATCTCCATTGGCCAGGCAACTAGGCAGTTCTCCATGCCTTGCCATCTTATGTTGGCAATTTCACGGGCAACCAGAACTCAGTCCAGCTGTAGCTATGCTGTCAAATGTGGATATTGCCCACCTGCCCTACAATAGGTTTAATGAGATTTGATGGTGGAAAGTGCTATCAAGTCACAGCAGACCCATGGCGATCCCTCATGGGGTTTTCAAGAAAAAAATGAACAGAGGTGGTTTGCTATAGCTGGACTTCCTTGTTGGACTCCCATCCAAGTACTAACCAGGTTCTGATATCTGATGAAACTGGGCTAGCTTCAGATGTCTAGGTTTAAGCTTAATAGGATGAACATGTGCAGGGGTCATTTCGTAGAAAAAGAGCTAGGGGAACTCATTAGCATAACTCATTAGCATATGCCACACCCCCTGACATCACCGGAAGTGTGTCATAAGGCCACACACCCCGCCCCCAACGGTCCCGGCCGCCACCGCCGGCCTTGCAGCTCCACTGCCGAGCCCCATGAGGGGCCCGGCGGTGGACCTGCAAGGCCGGCAGGAGTGCAAGGAAGCCCCGCAAAGGCCCTCCCTGGCCCCAGGCAGGCAGGGGTGGGGAGAGGCAGGGAGGAAGCAATTTACCCTCCCTCTTCTCCTGCCTCCTCCTGGCTAAATGAGGTCCGGAAGCGGGGCGGCCGGAAGCAGGGGGCAGGGTTTCGTCATGTGCCCCGCCCCCCGTACCTCACCTGGGGGAACTGTGTTCCCCCGCGTTCCCCCCCGAAATGACCTCTGAACATGTGATTAAATAACCTAAGGTACAGCACAATTCACTTTAAGTTCTAAGTAGCTAAGTAGCTAAATATGTACGAATGGATCAGTATATGGATAAGGAAGCATCAGTACAATTACCTCAGCAATGGTGACATATTCTCTCTTTTAACAGTAGCCTCAAATACATGGCATATTCATCACACATGGGCACAGTGTATCCATCCTCATGATTAGGAATGATTCCCAATTACAAAAGTGGAGCCTACATGTGTACAAGCTGTAGGTATGCAGACTCTGCCCTCATGACAGGGAATACATGTTTTTCATCATGTCGACAGAGCACACATGCATAAAGTTTGGACATGAGCAAAACCAGCATGCACAATTGCATGTGGAGGGGGGTTACTATGTTTTCTCTCCTCCTGCTCCTCTGTGCACACTTGTGCAATAATCTGTCATGTGAATGGGGCTGTTCATACCCTTTTGCAAAAAGGTGTGGAAATTCACCAAGAAATGGAAAGGCAAATACATTCAGGAAATTCACCTCCCATTTTGGCTCAGTGGTATCCTTAAGTTGAACTTCTGAATGCACATAAACCCTGACAAATCCCTGGAGATGTGAGAATGGTGATTATCTCAAGTGTATAAATTCAAACTGAACACACTCATGTGGGTATGTAGATATAATTAAATATCTAAATAGTGGTTTTAAGAGCTAATAATTGCTTTGGCTATAAAAGGCTTATTTGCAATTACAGTAAACAAAACATTGGCATTCCACAAATCTTAATGGAAGAGATTAACACAAGTAGTGACATACATTGATAATACTTTTAGATTTGTAGCATTTAGGAAAATGCTAGGTAAATGAAGAGCTCCATTGAGATAAAGGTGAACACATGCCTATCATATATTAACTCTGTAACCAGCTCAGCTATATCCAGAGCCAGCTACAGTAATGGGCAAGAGGGGTCCTCCTATCACCCCATTGTCCCAAGTTCTGTAAAAAGGATTTAATTAGGAATTCTTTATGTTGAAATAACACTGCATAACAACAGTAAAACTTAAAAATCTGAGATTAGGGAAATGGCCTCTATATAGTGGCTGTTATACCCTAACCTTCTTCTAAATCCCACTTGCTGATAGCATACATAGAAACTGGCTTTCCACTTGTGTTCAGCAGAACTGAAAATGGTGGCAGAGATTTATGTTGGGCTCCTTGAGAGTTTCTGGGCCCTAGCAAAGGCTCAGCTCCACCCACTCCACCTAATATTGACATGAACAATAACAGTAAAAAATATCTATACTGTTGGTTATTACACAGTGTTTTGTCTGCATTGATTAATTTATTTCTGTGTCATGTTTCTGGTACATAAGGCAGTCTTCAACCAATCCCCATCAAAACAAAATAGACATCACAAACATGCACATGCTTTAGTAAAGATGGACTGTTATCTGATATACTCTTTTACCAGGCAAACTTCTCAACCTGTTGAGAACTACCATATATTACTGGGTAAAAATGATAACTTGGCCCCATGAGAAGACAGAAGTGCCAAAAGCATAAGGAACAAAAAGGAATTGAAACTGCAAATCAACCAAATAGAAGCCCACCTAGTCTCAGAAGGACAAAATTCCAGCAAAAACAATTCCTTATTGTTATCGTCAACTTATCTTAGTCCACCCAAAAGCTACATCACCCAGTTTATACCTATTGACTGATCCCCCATCTCTATGTTCTGTTACACTGTACCTAATCCATTACTATAATACAGTATACTTAGAACAGATTCTCTTTATACACTGAATATGTTACATACAATGAAATTCACATATGACCCTCTATACACATGGTTCATTATATTCATGGTTTTCTTAGAAGTTGATTTACCTTGGTAATGATCTTAAAATAATAATTAGTTAGTTGCCTCAGAATTTTCAGTATCAAACCACAAGGAATTATTTAATTGAGTTTAACTGTACAACCGCTGAGAATTTCTAAATGAAACTCTGCATATGCACCTAGCCGTCTCATGCACTAAATAGGTCACACTGTAAAGCAGTGTTGCTGTAATTAATAATATACAATTATTGAGTAGAACATTGGTTTCTGCCTCCCAACTCTGAGCAATTATATCCTCTAGTCTGAATGAAGAGTTCTGAGGAACAGTACCCCTACAAAGGTTGAGTTCAGACTGGCAGTTTGCCCCGAGATAGGCACGTGCCAGAAACGTTTCACAAACGGATTAAAGGGGCTGTTCACACAGGCACATCTGTCAGGCGTTCCCCAACCGTACTCAGCCCGTCTTGTAGCGCTTGCCTCCCGAGTTTAAAAAGTACCCGGTGAAAGTGGTAGCAAACCCTGGAGAGCGTGGTCATCCCGCACCAACAAAGTGTGAACGCTGAAAGCTGCAATTGCTTGTGTGCTTATGCACATATGTGCATATCTCTGGATTACCAAAAAGAAAGCCATGCCTTACAGCCACGCCTCCGGCAGGGGTGGGCCAACAGTGCGAACACTCCCTTGTGCCTCCTCCCCGGTATGCTCCCACATCAGTTGGCGCAGTGTGACCGGGAAAACCCGGAACAACTTGTTCCGGGTATTTTTTGCCACGACTCCCTCGCGCTTCAAACTGCCAGTCTGTCCTCGGCCATAGACAATGCAAAAGCATCTGGAATCAGATGCTGGGAGTATCTAACCACTTCATGGGGAAAATGAGGAGGCCAACTCCATTCAAAAGCTTCTGAATATATCTCAAGCTATGAAATGTACATATTTGAAATATGGTGCCATTTAAAATTACCAAGGTTTATAGCATATACAGAATTGATGCTAAATGAAATTTCTGGAGTTTTGAAAAATCATATTACTACGAAAGCAAAAGAGTCTTTAATTAGATTACTCCCCTTCTCTCTCTTAATTGCATCGAGATATGCAAAACAGATTTACAGCTAGCGGCCTAAACACATAACAGTGCTTTAAAGTTAATTACAAAATACCATTATAATTTTCTCAAGATGGAATTGCTGGTCTTAATGTTACAAATTCAAAGCATTCATGAAAATTTATTTGGACTATATTTTTAGTGCCTATAATTCCTATCCAATCATTGCACCTCTAGTAATGAAGTATAATTTTTTTAATCTAATATGGCAATATGAGGAGATAGGCTGAATGTAGATTTCATATGCTGTGCTGTTGAGGTTCACTGTTAGCCAAGTTTGAAATGCTGTTCATTTTACATTACTGGGTGTTTGAAAGACAATGAAGTCTTGGTGTATTCTGGCAAAGCAACAGCACATAAATAGTTTAATAGTCAATTAAAAAGTGCTTAGTAGCACCTGGCTGCTGTTTCATTTGTATCAATCTGAAGAGGAAACATGTTACGTGAAGCCCTGAGCAAAACCAAAATCCTGGTGAAGAACACAGAAAGCATCATGCAATATTTTGTAGAATAAACATTACACTTTAAACAGTTGCTTAAAAGTTATATGTGTGTATGCATATGGGAATTAATTACCCAACCCAATTTGATCTACCTCATTATCTCAATATGCTGGCAGTTCCAAAATGGAAGTGGTCATATAATCACACATTGTAATGCGCTGCCAACAGCCCAGATGAAGGACACTGCTATGTACACTATGCCATTGTGTCTGCTATGTTCATAGTAACAGCAACTATGTTATGAAGGCCTGTTGAGCCACAACACAATCAGTGAAATCCTCAATTCATAATGTCGTAGACAAACACAGCTTTGGTGAATTCCCCATGCATGTTTAGGCAAACCCATTAGTCCTACCGGTTGTGCGGCTCTTTTCACCCGATCCTTGGCACCCATCCTCATCATCACAGTCTCCGCTAGATTCCATCTCTTCACTCCTTCCACCACCACTGCCACTTTCCCGAGATGCCCATCTTTCAGATTTTAGATTTGTCTTGTCACTCTCCAGCTAAAATGTGAAAAAAAATGACGGTGATGGTTATAAAGCAATTCTACAAATCCAACTGCAAAAGGGTCCATAGGATGATCAAAGTATGGGTATCAGTCCTGGCTTCTTCATACTGAAGACACTGAAGCTTAGAAAAACTCCTGTAAGTTCACATCAGCTCATTAAAAACAACACTGGATTACAAAAAAGGATATGATATTCATCCAAGGGTGTAGACTTTCCAATTTCCCGGGGGGGGGGGCTGGGGCTGGGCCAGAGGCATTGCTTTGCTAGGAGCAAGGGTGGCTCCTGGGGGAGGCTGAGTACCTTCCTGAAAATTTCGGCGGGGGCTGAAGCCCCGCCGCCCCCACGAAGATTACGCCTATGAACAACAGCTCGTAACTGAGCACCAAGGCATTTTAACTTTCCGAATATGCATCTGTAAAAGTGAAATTTCACCTCTTGCTTCAAGCTTAGTCCCCCAGGTTTATGCTTTCACTGCTACAACACGTCTTTTCTGGCAATGTCACTGGCTGCTGAGAGTGACTGTTGGTTAGCAAATGACATGCTTCCCATCCTTGAGATGGTGGAAGTGTGAAACTGGCAGGCAGCTGACAATTTCTACCAAACATTTCTTCCTCCTTCCCCACTTTCTAGAATCACACAGCCATTCCAGTGAGGGCTGACACTCAGGCCACCAAGCAGGGGAACAAGGAGGACAGAATTCCAGGTTCCCTGTGACCCTGAAGGCCCATGGAACCAGACAAGTCATATAATTTGCTTTCTTTAGGTTGGGTCTTGGTGCTGTAAGGGCATGACAGAGAATATCTTTGCTTAGGGAAGTAGTGGTGACTGTCAGCATCAGACATATTCGAGACATATTTTTAAAAATAAGAATTCTGCTTGGGCTTATCTCATTTTGACTTTTTGAAATGTTGACCATGTACAGCTGGCTACATTATGAAATAAGAAAAGACTATTCTATAAGAAATTTTCACAAAGGCAGTTTTCATTTCTCCTTTTTCTACAGGAGAGAGAGAGAGAGAGAGAGAGAGAGAGAGAGAGAGAGAGAGAGAGAGAGCGCTTTGTCACCAGGGCCTTTTAATTTCATTTTGTGTAAGACTTCCGGTAATATAGCTGTGATGGGATCCACTAGCAGAGTCAAATCACTACTATGATTACACAATGGCTGCACTGGAAGAACTGGACAATGGATTCCTTGTGCTGACAGCATTCAAACAATGGAGGAAGTAGGTGGCAAGATTTGACACTCATACTGAATCCGTTGGCATCAATTTACATCACTCATTATATTGCATACTATTACAATCCTCTACTGAGAGGTAACAAAAACAAGCATCAGCAACAAATGCCCCTTTTCTTTTGCAGAAGAATGGACTAATTATTCATAGCTCCATTTTTAGAAGTCAGTGGTGTCACATTTTTTGTAGATTATTTCATTTGTGGATGTGGAAAGGATGAATTGTGTAAATAAGACAATACCCACTTGTAGTTCAATTTTATTTTAAACAAGCAGCTTGATGTTAATAATTTTGTGATTCATGGTCTGAAATTCTGGTGTCACAAAGACACAGCACAGCAAATTTGCTTTTAAAAATCTTTCTGCCCATGATGATGGGTTACTTATAGTGCAATCCTAAACTGAGTTACAACATTTTAAGCCCATCAACTTTAATGGATTTAAAAGGATAGAATTACATCCTTTATGTTCACTGAAGTCAATGGGTTTAGAATGGTGTAGGGCTGAATTACCAGTTGTATTAGACTTCTTTTGCATGCTGGTTGTATTAGAACTATATTCATTCAGTGCTCGAATGCTTTAGAACTAAGATATGTCTCTGTTCTATAAGTTCACAAATAAATAAAGGTTTCCTTGTTAGTGAAAAAAGTAGCATTTGCTCTTTGTGAAAAGGTAGCAAATCTTTTAAAGTTTTAGTTTTCAGTTCAGTTTTTTTCTGCCACATGATTGTGTGGCATTTATCAAACCTTTTCAGGAAAAGAAAGCCCACCTCTGCAACTTTTCTTGTTTAAGTTCTTATATTGCCCCCTTAATCAGAATAAAGATACTCACACAGGTGTGTTGGTATAAATAAAGGGCAGCTTTATTAAATTTTTAACTTTAATTGAATGAACTGTAACTTGGCAAGGGCCAATGAAAAACATAAGCCTAGACAAAGGGATACACCCTGGTCCCTTTCCTGGCTCGAAATGGGCGAGCCACCAAGCCCCTGGTGCAAGCCAATGATAACATGGCTGTTGTCAGGACTTGAAAATAAGCCCTTGAAAGGAAGCCAGCCACCTCAAGCCGCAGAACTTGAGGGGAGGCCAAATCCAAAGGGCATTGCAGGCCATTTGCATTCCCCTCCAAGGCTCCTGCCCACTGATGGCTCTGTGTAGTGGTTAGGAGCGCGGACTCTAATCTGGGAGTACTCGGTTTGATTCCTCGCTCCTCCACATGCAGCCAGCTGGGTGACCTTGGGTCAGTCACAGTTCTCTCAGAGCTGTTCTGGAAAGAGCAGTTCTTGAAAGAGCTCTCTCAGCCCCACCTAACTCACAGGGGAAGGGAAAGGAAATCTGCCACTCTGAGACTCCTTTAGGTAGTGAAGGACGGGGTATAAATCAAATCTCCTCCTCCTCTGCTTCCTCCTGCCAAACATGTCCCCCCAATCAAGGGGGGGTCTGCCTGCTGGTGCTCACCCCCTTCCCTGGCAGCCAGATTTCTGCCAGGGAAACCTAATTAATGGCACCATCCACCCAACCCCTCTCCAGGCCAATATGAAAGAGGGTGAAAAAATCCTACCCGGCCCCAAAATTAGTAACCAGCAAAAGCCCACACTATAGAAGGGAGGGCAGGTCAGCCAACTGAAATGCAAAAACTGCCCAGTAGAGAGGCAGGTGGAGCAAACTGAACCAAAAATTCTGCCTTCCACAATACCCGTATGGGTGGAAATTGCCCAACCAGCCTCTTCATCCTTCCATAGAGAAAAAGGAGGCCCTCCATTCTGAAGCAACAGCAAGGGTTGCAACCTGTCACTTTTGGATTATTTACATGCTACTCTGTATCTTGCCTTTTCTCTGATTTGATTTCACTTACTGTGTTGCAAAATGGCTCAGTTCAGAATCATGCTTTAATTAAACAATTATGAATAAATGGATTGTTTGAACATGGGCTATTACCAAGTTTAGTTTGATGGACCACAGTTAGAGTCCATCAATCTAGGTCTGAAGTTGCTGTTTTTTAAATCACAGCTAGTCTTAAATATGGTTTTACATAATGTGTGAACAAGGACATCCTGGCTTCATTCTGGCTTGTTTCCCCATCACTGCCTTCCCTAGCTACAGAGTGAAGGTGATGAAATCAGAATTTGTTGAGTCAAACCAGGATCTGAGAGAGCATCTGCAAACCAAATCCTGGTTTTACAAGCTAACCATTGTTAAAATAAGCCATGGTTTTACATTACAGCGGAACCAAGCCAGTGTTTCTAATTGCTTCAATGAGATCTGATTAGCAGTTGGGATCAACAAATAAGATTTGCAAAAGCTAAGTTACTTTCACATACTGATCAGCCTGCTGGATCAAGAACCATACAGGCAGACTGCATGCAATGGAATCCCAATTTGTATGTTATGTTATAGATGGAGTTTGCTGTCCCAAGCCAAAGGTAACACACAAAGCCACATTGTGTGATTCTTTCTGCATCAGAACCCAGCAGATCCCAAAAGCAGCTTCTGAAATCTAAAAAAGGGTGTTGCAAATAACTCAACAGAGTTGGGAGTGAAAAATACGGGACATGGAAGAAAAGCTGGCAGTTTGCCAGGGTGCTGTCAGTGATAGTTTATTGTCTAACCCTTCTAGGAAAGGCTGTGGGATTACTAAACAGCCAGAGCATGTAGCTTCAATTTTTTAACCTTACACTCTCCCCCACTGGAAAAAGAAAAATCATGACCAGATGCAGGGTGTCCTGTAGATTACAACAAGGCAGGAGTTCATTATCCTCCCATTAAAGAGAAACGTCAAACAAAAATATTATCATTATGGTTTGATGTATATACTTATGATTTCTATTCATGTCTATTCCTCTTTCTATGTAAAGTCTTTGAAATTTAATAAAAATAAAGTTTAAAAATACTGAACAAGAACCAGCAGTTGATATATGGAACCTGCTGAAGCATACAGCTTAATATGCAGTTGTTGAAAACTAAACCATGCTTGAATTCATGTATTTCAGCTAAAAAAAACTCCTGATGTACTGAATTACTGAGTCTACTTATGTATTCAGTCTTGTATTGTGTCAGGTATATTCTATGTATGTTCCATATTCTAACAATATGAATGGCTTTTCAAGAAAATGTCCCTAGACATCTAAAGGTGTACCAACATCTACATATGACTGGCATATTTTCCATCTGAGTTTTCAGTTCATACAAAATCAGCACATCAAAGCCATTGGCCCCAGTGCAACAATGCAGGCATATGACATTTGAGCCTGTCCACAAGGAGCCCTGTCAAATAGGCTGCAAACTGCTCTGATTAGTTGCTTGGCAGAGTGGGAGGCTGGGGGGGAATGGAATTCAGCACTCCTATCTTTCCTGAAAAACTGAGATCACCATAGGTAGCAGCTGTAGAGCTGTTCTCATTGCTCGACTGAGCTGGGGAATCACATGTACAACCAGGGTTGCTGAGACCCGCCATGGGTCCCCAGACAAAGATTCCACCTTAGGGTCCCCCATATGACCTTGATCCAAACCAAAGATCATTAACAAATCACTTTCCTTGCTGTTACCATGAATCTATAGTAATAAAAGAATTCACCTGTCTGTCCATCTGCCCACTTATGGCAGGCATAACTCATCAGATAATAAAGCTGGTTGTGTGTATTTGTAAAGTGCTGTCAAATCACTTTTGACATGGTGACCCTATGAATCAAATTCCTCCAAGTCTTGCAGACTGAGGGCCGTGGTTTCTTTTATAGAGTCAATCCATCTCTCTCTCCTCCCCC